ATTGTATACCAGTGTTGTAAGGCCGCGCTCATTACACACAAAGCGCTTGCCACAAGTGAACCACGATACCTTGCTGATCCTCGTCAAGGAGCATAAACCATCATCACGTGAACTCCGGTCACCCTCGCAGAATCGGCTTTTGGCTGGCCATCGAACAAAGACGTTCACTGCGTCGCACGCTTTCAGATGTGCTTCTGCGGCCGTCTGGAACGCTCTTCCTTCCGATATTAGGAAGCCACCAGAGCTATGCACTTTAAAATCGAGATTGAAAGCAATTTTTTTTAAAGCTGCTTTGTGTATTCAGTTTGTTGTCCTTCCCCCGCACGCCCGATTAAATAGCATGGTTGGCTACGCACGGTGCAAACGAAGTTCAACATATATACGTATGTAAAATTAAGAATAGCCCAGTGTGTGACTTGCAGTCACCAATCTCAAACCACGGACCATGTAGTAAAACCACTGCCCGCTTCGATCACTCCCCAGCAGCATCGCAGATATTCACCATGAGGCTACTCCTGAAGCTGCCCATTGGCTCAATCACCAACCTGAACAGGAACGTAGAAACGTGAATTCGCTACCACACGAAAGGCAGCAATCTGGATATTTTTACGTTCAAGTCAGTCAAGTAGATTTGTGAAATGTCAGCTGAAACTTCTTATGTTTTCCCAAGCACGTGCGTGCTTTCATATCGTCTCTTACCGATAGGGGTCACAGGAAGAACAAAAACATGTGGTGTGCTTGTATTTTTTTGTTCCACAAGGTGGCTGCATCGTACAGTTTTGATGCGGGTCTGAGAAGTCACCCTAATTCCCTACGTGGGCTCCCAGCTCTGGTGTTGCGCACATCAAAGGCATTGTCAAGGTTAGGGGAATGAATTCGGTGGCGGGTGTTGAACGGCAATTGTGCGCCTCTATTAATAAAGGAGGCCTGTTGAATGAGAAAGCACACCACTCACCCCTGAACTCATTATGGCAATTTGTGTCAAATCGTATGTGTGGTCACATATGTAAAAGATATACTCTACATAATACATATATACATTCTAATTCGTATAGAATTAATGTTGGATGAAAAAACTACAGCTATGTTTGTCGTGATATTTTATACCGTCTTATTTAATACGGCGCAGCATTTTGTTACGCGTAATTATTTAAAAGATACAATCTAAAAAAAAATACGTTTACCGATAATGTTGACTTTTAGCATCCTTGGTCCAAGTATAACGGGCGCTCTTACACATTGCCGCATCGACGGTGCAGGTGCAATCCTGTGGATTATTGAAACGCTAAAAGGTCACCCAAACACCAATGACCAAGAGTTCAAAGTAGAACGGTAGGCGTGAGCTTTGTAGTTGGAAATGAGGTGGATTCATTTTGAATGCAAACAAAACTTGGGAGATTCTGCCCTGCCTTTAATAAACGGTTTATTCACAGGGAAACATGGGCAAATGTTTAATGCCTTTCAGATGTGCTTGCAAGTCCTTTGAACATGGCAAGTGTTGTTCCACGCTCAACACAAAGCGCTCGTTTTTTTTTCGAAACTGACGGAACTTTAGTTTTCTCTGTAGAAAATGAACTATATTGTTTGCAGATGCTCCAATTACGGCCTTGCGTTTCAGCTTCTAATGACTCGGTACACATTTGAAAGTAATTTTGTGTCATTGCGCGTTTATTGAGAAGCGGATTTTTGTTTGTTTAGGAAATTGTTTTGTGCTCCAGAGGAAGGGAAAAAAAACTGTAAAAAATAATTTTACTTCACTCGTTATGATTTCACGAATTGTATCATATAGCGTTGGTTGTGGGACTGGTTCGAAGTGGTTTATATATAGCCTATTCCTAATGAACTAATAGGTGCGTGTTTAGCTGGAGGGTTTCTGCTTGATTTTTCTGACATGAAGGCAAAAAGATCGATGGGAATTTTTTTTTTCATATCATCGTTCTAATGATGACCTTTATGCACACTACATTTGAACAAAGCGTTAACCGAATTCTTACTAACTTGGCAACTCTTGCCGCTGCACAAACAGAGGCATATTGCCACCTTAATAGGAGTAAAATGTCCTTGGGCTCACGCGCACACCGTTTTGCGAGCACATCACACCTCCTCTCTTGTTTTTGCATTGGCTGCCAGTCAAGCAAAAGAGGATCCTCTTGCTGCTGCTGCTGCTGGCCTGCAAGTCTCGCGATGGGTTAGCCCAGGGGTCGGCAACCAAAATAACAAGAAGAGCCATTTCTTTCCAATTCGGTACAAAATTCAGTATTTCAAGAGCCGCAATGCATCTGAGTACATACTGTACATATCGTCAAGAAGCAGCCCGTAAAGAGCCGCATGCGGCTCCGGAGCCATAGGTTGCCGACCCCTGGGTTAGCCGCAGAATATTCGCAGCAACTGATCCATTTTTAGACTCCAACAATCTCCCTGAGATCTTCGAATCGCCTTCTTCTCAGCACTCCGAGGCCAAGGCTCCGTACCTGGGGTGATCCGGCTTTTGCCAGTGCAGCTCCCAGATTATGGAATGTTTTGCCTTTGCTAATAACATTCAGAATCCGTTAATATATTTAAGTCTGTCGTGAAAACTCGCCTTTTTAATTGGTCTTTAACCCCTGCCTAGTTCTGGCCGTTTACCCTGCAGGTTATGTTTATTTCCTGCCTTCCACACACGGTGACGCATTGGGATCTACGGCTGAAATGCACTTTAAAACAAACGTTAAATAATAATAATTGTTATTAAATCGCTAGACGAGACGACGGTCGATGGACGACCGCACGGGTGACGGATTTGAAGCCAAAGGAGAGAAGCGGGAACAAGTTTACGTCCGCTGCCAGGAGATGGAGCCGAGATTCGTTCATGCGCCGGAGTGAGCTCTGGACTGTGAGGGATGATGACGGAGTGGGCAGGCCTTCATCCAGCAGTGGATAGGCAAGGGCCGATGATGATGACATGGCATAGAGTTGTTTCAGCTTTATTTTGTTTAACCACGTGGGAGACTCAAGAAACCAGGATGAAGTCTCAAGTGCAAGAGTAGCGGACTTGGGCCACCAAAATAGCAAAAGCAAAATAACAAATAGTAAAAAAAAAAGTCTAAGCAATGAAGCAAATAGAAACCAGAAGAAGCACAATATGCCAGGGGGACGAACTCCAAATAACAACAAATGACCAATGGCCTCGCCAAGTAGTGCCCATGCACACCTGCAGCAGAACAGTGCGAGGTAATCCTGGTTGCGTAATGCGATAGAAGACGCCACAGCGGCGTGGCAGCGCAGTGGGCAATTGCACATTCCTCTCGCTCGGGCGCATTTGGAATAACGCGTTTGGAATACCAGGAATTGCCGGCGTACTTGGAAGGCCAGAGTTTGCGGGGTAGGGTTAGTTGGTTTTGGTGGGTGGTGGTGTTGGTGAGCGGGTCTACAGGGTGGGGTAGGGGGGGTGTTTGTCATTCAGCCTAACCCCCTTGCCATTTTCTCCACTCCTCTGACTCTCACTCCCCACCCCGCCCCGCAGTTTCCCAAACCTCATTTTTTTCGAGAAAGGCTCTCCCTTTCTGGCCATCCAAGCATTCATTAGCTTGCTCTTAAAGAAGACCTGTTTGTATGTCTGCAGAGAGGGATGACATCATGGTTTTGTTCTAGCTTTGTGTTAAGTGTCTCTTGTTCATTTTTAGATCAACGAGGGGAGGGGGGGTAAGTGGTTGTCTACTGCATTCTCTGGCGTGGAACTTGAGTTTTCGTGCAGCCTATCGGAGCCTGCCCCGTCTGTTCACCACATGTCATATCTATTCTCCGAACGGGTGAATCCCGTCTCGTTACCTGCCATGCCCCTTTTCTCTGATGCCTCGAAGATGCACTGCAATGGGGACGCACGGTTTAAATCAATAGCAAGCGACAATGACGAAGATGACGACGATGATATGCGTGGACGAATCTAACATAGGTCATTAAACTCCGCAAAGTGTCAGAATCAGAATATCCATTTCTCCTGGAGGAATCTGACGAGCTATTAAGCTCTTTTTCACAGATGTCAAACAAAAGTATTGGTAGCAAAATGTGTTCCGTTCATCATCCTCAAGTGGAAATGATATCTCCAAGTAATCCCAGGAAATAAAACATTATCTCGGGGTTGTGCTCTGAACCTGCGAAGCTTCTAATTGTAACTTGTTTTTGGTGGAGGGGGGGGGGCTCAGAAACACCCAAGGTGTGAGGACGCTGCACGTGTGACATGCGTCGGTATGGTGAGCGGTGGCGCAGCGGTTAGCGCACTACGCTACGAGGCTGGCGACCCGAGTTCGATTTCCGCTCACAGACAACAACACCAGTTATGATTATCCGAACCAGTCCTGGACCGTTCCAAGGTCGACTCAGCCTCAAATGAGTACCTGGAGTGATGTGTAAAAATCATCGCCATTCGGGAGACAAAGGCAGCCGGGCGTGGTGCTGGCCACCCACTCCACTCCCTCCCCTCGTGTGCCTTAATAGGTGCTCGCTTACAGCACCTGCTCCGACAGCCTGCTAAAGCACTGTTCCTCATTGCAACGCCCACGGGCCCACTGATGTGGTCCCGCGGTGGCCTTGAGTGCTGCCCCCGACAATACACAACATGTACGAAACATCGTCATCGTGCTGTTCAACCCCGAATGGTTTCAACATGGTGTGGCAAACCCTCACACAATGATTGCTGTCTCATCGGCAAAAGTGTCCTGCCCGCCCGCCCTTCTGAAATTTAGTGAAGAACAACTTCGCTAAAGGCAATATATGAGAGTGATGGATCTTTGTCTTGGTATCCTTAAGAGAGGCGTGTGTGGAGGGGGGTGGATGCAGAGAGCTGCATCGTGGGGAGCGGTGGTGCAGTGGTTAGCGCGCTGCGCTATGAACCTAGCGACCCGGGTTCGATTCCCGCTCACGGCCAACACCAGTGACGATTATCTGAACCGGTCCTGGGCCTCCCCTAGGTCGACTCGGCCTGAAATGAGTACCTGGTATGGTGTGTAAACATCGCCACTGGGGAGACAAAGGCGGTCGGGCGTGGTGCTGGCCACCCACCCCCTCGTGTACCGTTCCGGCCTTCATAGGTGCTCGCTAACGGCACTTGCCCCTACAGTTTGTTAAGGCTTTGCGGGGGATCTTTATCTTTATGCAGAGAGCTGCCCGTGTCACCCCCCCCCCACTCCCTTTCGCTCAGCCAATCACGCGCGCGCTCCTCGAGTCGCACGGAATAGCCCAAAAATCTCAACGCAGCCGCTCCTCCGCTCTCTCAATGCCCGATGCTTCTTCCACCCACACGGCAGCTGGAAAGAGGCGCAGTGAGACTGCAACGACCGGGGAAGATACTTGCATGACCAGGGAGCGGGTGGGTCGAGGGGGGTCACTAATGCAGTGGTAGTGCAACAAGGCTCTTAACGAAGACGATAACAGAGGGAGGGAGGGGTTCGGTGGTTAACTCGGCTTCTACAAAAGAAATCGTGGGGAAAAAAAAAAGTTTGATATTTTCTCCGTGGTCTTTGAATTGAAAATATTTTTTTGGCAGGCGGGTTGGGGGGGGCACCGGCATCTCACTCCATTCTCGGGCTGTTGTCGACATGGGGGAGGGGGGGCGGTGACGGCTGTGAAGAGTGAACAACAGTGCGCGGCCACCGCTCTTCACGAGGCTCCCCTCGTACCGGGGCTGGCGATTGGCCACGCTTTCAAATCTCCCGAACAGCGTTCGATTTTTTTGTTCACGCGCGCGTGTGTGCGGTGTGTGTGTGTTGGAGGCGGAGGGGGGGCGGTGTGAAAGCAGCGGTAGTAAGACTGGAGATTGGTGGCAGTTGTAGCCACGCAGATAGGGGAGTCGAGTGGCCGGGGACGGCCGCTCACCTGCCAGGTGACACGCTGGCGCACCTCCAGGACATGCGCTGCCTCTTTGAGGCGGCGCGCTGCACCGCCAAACTGCCCGCCAGCCTCGGCGACATGGACATCTTGACTCTGCTCGACACGATCAAGAATGGGAAGTTTGCCCTGCTCGGGTGCTCAGGTGAGGGTGTTTGTTTGCTGCTGTTGTTGGTGATGTTGTTGGGGAGCGGTGGTGCAGCGGTTAACGCGCTGCGCTTTGAACACGGCGACCCGAGTTCTATCCCCGTTCACGACCACCAGTTATGATTTTCTGAACCGGTCCTGGAACGCTCCAAGGTCGACTCAGCCTCAAATGAGTACCTGGTGTGGTGTGTAAACATCGCCACTCGGGAGACAAAGGCAGCCGGGCGTGGTGCTGGTCACCCACCCACTCGTGTGCTGTTCCGGCCTTAATGGGTGCTCGCTAACAGCACTTGCCCCAGCAGTCTGTTAAGGCTATACGGGGGATCTTTGTCTTGCTGTTGTTGCTTGGGAACAGTTCGGATAGACCGCGTCTCTCGACTCCCCCTGCTCATCCCCTCGTTATGAACCTCGGGTCAGTAATGCGTGATGATACGGTTTTTGCTATCACATGTGGACAACTTGATTTGGGCAGTAATCGGCGCCCCCTGCAATAGGCAATGGACGGACATTGCGGATATAATAAGACCTGTACAGGCTGGTCCAGATGTATTGTGACCCCGAATGAAATGACCCGGAATATTTTTTTTTAAACCTTTGCATATTCATTTATGTTTGGAGTTTTTAGATAATTAAATGGGGGGGGGGGGGGGGATGGGGGGCGTCACAAGACATCTGGACCACCCTGCACGTCCCACCCACAGCGCCGTGGAAGTCATCCGCGAATTTTGCCCCACTCGTTTATAGAGGAGAATCGCAGATGAATAACGCGGCTACGAGGATGGACTTGCCGTGCCACGTCGCTTGCGCGCGCGCAATGAAATCGTCGTTAATCGGACGCCGCGCTGCATTGCGGGACGGGAGAAACCACGGATGATCGGGAGTTTTCACGCTCGCTGAGAGTGACGGGTAACAGGGTAGCGGATAAACGGAGTGCAACTGAATGTGACGAAGCTTGCGTATCATGGGCCGACGCACACGAGCAGGCCCCCGTGTTTACTGCCAATTGTTCCAGCAACTTTCCGCAAACCGTGCACCACTGATGGAAATGAAAATGCGATGCAGTCATTTGCACCCCGAGTAAACCCGTCAGCCACCCACACGTGACGGACAGCACACCGCCATGGTCCCGTGATCAACCAAGTGTGTGGCCTTTTGATGTAGTTTGCGTTCAAAGTGTGGCCACAGGCTACGGTTTGCCAGTGGATATCAACGCTTATTAGAAGTTTCTGGGGTTTTTTTTCTCGTAAAGGTTTCATTCTTTGAAGCGCCGTGTTGAAGATGTTCCCTTTTGATGAATAAAACAATACATTGTACAGTAACGTGCGTGCTTGTGTGTGTGCGCCTGAGAAAAAAAAATAGTGAATTCGTGTCAAGTTTATTGAGTGTCATGGCTAATTACGCTGATGCGTGTTGTTACGGTGAAATTTGCTAATTGGAGGTAATTGGCGCGGCTCTGTACCCCTTGGGAAGGGGGATAAGGGATGATGTTGATGATGGTATGAGATTCCAAGAACACAGGATGAGATGTTACTATCCTTTGTGCAAGCACTTCCAAGAGTTCATGAACAGTGAGCCTGGTGAAATTTGGGGAGCGCATCGTCAGTAGTGAACCTTTGGTAAGGTGGAGAGGCACATCAAAGAGTTCTAAGGAGTGGTGGACACGTTGATGAATCTTTTAGACAATGTGGAGATGCAGGCCGATGCCGCCCCCCCCACCCCCCCCCCCTTCAAAAGCCAGCCACAGGTGGTGGCAAGCTTGCCCGAGGACAGGAAGGTCTGCCGATCAAAGACAGGAGGCTGTGCTGCACTGTGGCTTTGAAAACCCTTCTGGTCTGCGGATGAGTGTGGGCGGATTGGCTGCACATTAAAGGTTGCTTTCAGTGGCCTCAAATATATATATATTTCTAATGTTACGGAAAATTGCAGTTATGCGAGTTGCCGTCGTCCAAAAGAGGACATTTCACCATTGTGTTGGCAAAAATTACGCAGCTCTGAGCGACCACGGAATGGAAATTTAGAATGCAAGCAACGTCGTTTAAAGGGTTCCACATATGGTGACTATCTAATAATCATGATAATGAGTTCCGTGATGACGGACTCACAATGCGAGTCTTGAGATGATGAAGCTGGTTTTGATGCGTTTCATCCTTGCGCACCACTGCCAATGCAGGCCGTTAATGTGTTCATTAATGATGCAGCTGCGGACACTGCCGCAGTCTTAACGGTTAACACACTGGACTTGCAATTTACACGTTAATGGTTGGATCTCCCTGCGTGGCAGTTAGAGCAATGGGCAGATTTTTGTCGCGAAATCCCCGTGTCTCTGTCCGCCCAGCGGTGTAAATGGATACACCACTTTTTTGGTTCTTTCGGTAAAGTCAATAATACAATAATAAAAATAAAACAATATTTTATTGTGTTTTATTTTTATTATTTTATTATTTCCCTTCTACGTAACTTTACCGAAAGACCCAAAAAGATGAATCCCTGCAGTCACGAAAGCTTTAAATCGAAAATGGGTACACCACCGTTACGTTCATCTGCAGGTCGGATGTGTGGGTACTGCCACTTCATCCAAGACGTCTGTCCAGCTTTCAAGACTCGGCCAGATACCCACGAGAGGGGGCTCCCTCGAGTGCAGACCCATCTGCCCAGCAGTGCTATGAGCACGCTCTTGCAGGGCTGCGCGTTTACCTTGCGACGTCACTTGTCACTTGCCCTCGAGTCGTACGCGGGCGTTGCGTGCGACTTGCGTGGCGTTTCGCCGCTCGCTCGGGAAACCACACGTGCTCACGCCGGCCACGCGTTGCATTTGACTGCGTTGTTGTGTTGGTGTGGTCTGGGACTGTTCTTGCTGTTGTTTTGCTGTTCTTGCCGAAGCTTGGAAATTGGTGTACTCATGCAATTTGAACTTACATACTGTATCTATTTTGCGTATGTATTTTTAGTGATTTGCTTTACTTTTCCTATACGTTGCCCTCCTATCGTCTTTTGTATCATTTGTTGTAACTTTCTGTCCAGGGTCTCACCCCCTCCCCTCCCCCTTCGCAGGACATTGTGAAAAATAGCTTCATAGCTCATCCGATTTGAACCAGGGTAAAATACAAATTTCTTATTCCGATTCCGTTTGCACCCTCTGCCAGCAGGTCCACCGTTGCCCCTCCAGCGGAATGGCATCGCTATGCCCTCCCGTCCCGAGCTACCCCGCTGCGGTGACGGCGGCGGCGGCGGCGGTGGCGGCGATGGGATCAGGACGCGCCCTCCTCCGGTGGAGGTGGACGAGGAGGAAGTGCAAGCGCAGCCGCTGGCGCTCACCATGCACAACAAGCCCGCGGCGCCGTCCTCCGCTCCCGTGCCCATGGTGACGTCCCCTACCGGGGGAGGCCCTCCGGCGAGCCCCGGCAAGCGCAAGTTCACCAGGCCGCAGGCAGACGGCGTCTCGCAGCAGGGCAGCGTGGAGAGCGAGGACGAGGAGGACCCCGCCACCAAGGCCAGCCGCCTCATGCCACTCAACCTGTGAGTAGTAGCATGGCTGGGCCGTGTTTGGACATGGACAGGCTCAGGGCTGCCTGGATAGTCGGGGGCGGGGGGCAAAAGGGGAATGTTGTCCCTGGTCTCACACTATAAAGAGGGCACCACAATGAGCCTGTTGTTGGTTTTTTTTGGTGGCGAATAATGAATGAGGCCCCCACGTGGCACTCTGCCATGGGCCTCCCAGCCCTGGGCCTTCAGGAACCTCTGGGTGGCCCTCAGTGTTGGGGGGGGGGGGGTAACTTTGTAGTGGTTCCAATGCTGGTTTAATAGATTTGAATGCTGGCTGTGGTATATTAGAATGATTCTGTGAAAACCCACATGAACACCAGTGGCAATTAGTTTGTAAATGTGTCCTAAGGCTTCCCCTAAAGGTCATTATGCACTCGGATAATTTTCCGACAATCGTTACTGGCAATCTTCACCGGCAACAGTTTTTCTAGGCAGAGCTCGCATTGCGCCGTTCCATATCACTCCAAGTTTGACGTAGAACAGGCTTGAATGTGGCCAGCAATTGTTGCCCTATAATTCTCTTAGTTTAGGCTTATGGCTATGATGACTTAGTTAACTTTTTATTTTATTTACCAGGTAAGGCCCACTGAGCTATATAGCTTTTTTTCAGAAGCGACCTCGCCACAAATGATAGCTCAACGAAGTGGCTTATCATCACGTGGAAATATATAGCAGCCAGATACTCTAAACGCATGTTTCTAAATGGGTATGAAGAAGATACTTTTTTTCTATTCATATGTATTCCGGTTGTGGGTTCATGTCACCCACTCCTGTCGCCACTAGAGGCGCTACCTTTTACTGTCATGTCACTGAAAGATCTTGAATCAAATTGTAACACCAAAGAATTACTAGGGTGGGGGCAGGGAGGGATGAGATGTGGAGGAAAAAATCCACACGACCACGGAAAGAGAGAACATGCAAACTCCAAACATACAGCAGGCGTCAGGGTTGGGATCGAACCCACGATCTCCTGCATACCAGGCGAGGTCGTGAACATCTCGCCACCGTGGTTAGCTGCTAGCTGTGTGCTAAACATTGGCACAAGAGAGGCAAAGCCAGCTGGGCTACGCAATGGAACGCAACAGAATTTGGGTTTATAAAGCGTATAAACACAGCGGCTGGATCTCACACGTGTGCGCTTTGATGGTTTCGCGATTTGCTTGCGAACGGCGTTTGTTCCACTTGTCTCATCAGGCTAGATGGGAGATATTTGTATTGACAATGCTGTGATTCATTTGTTACTACCCAATGTATACAATAATAATAATAAAATAATAGCTTTTTATGATTGTATCCAACATGATGAATTAAGTTTAACACGTAGGCTTTCGCGACCAATATTATTCATAACGTTGATTATGAATGATGAATTAACCATAATTCATCATGTTGGCAGATGCGGGTTGGTGACATGGTGGGGGGGGGGGTTCAGGAATGATTCAGGTATCACTTGCCACTGATGTTAGCCATGGACAGCAATTGAACTCAGGTTCACAGGTTACATACATAGCCATGTGCGCTAATCACCTCCCCACTGCCGCTCGTTACGATTTCACGTGTGATCTATAAGTCAGTGATTTATTTCACATTAATGCGGCCGTAATGAAAGGGGCAGAGAGGGAAGAATCAATTAGCTCAATACCTTGGGTGACTTTAAGCGAGGAATTTTAAACAGCTCAGCCACGCTAAGAGTCCACGCAATATCAGTAGCCAGAGCAATGCGGCGCTTCAGTGTGTCCAGTGTCGAATGGCATTGGCCAGGGATTCCTCACATAACTCTTGTCTAAACGCCTCTTCAGTGTCAACACTGCGAGGTGCCCAGGCACACGATGACGTCTTCCTGGGCGAGTGCGTTTGTTTGGCAGGTTCGGCTAAATACGCTGTTGCTGCTGTGTGCATGTTCAGATCTACTTCTGAATGAGTGCTAACAGTTCTGAATATTGTTGGTACGTCACGCGTTCTAAAAATGTGCGCACAAAGACACACATAGACAAAGACCCCCGTATAGCTTTAAAAGACTGTTGGGGCAAGTGCTGTTAGTGAAGGCTGGCATGGCACATGAGGGGGTGGTTGGCCAGCACCACGTCCGGCTCCCTTTGTCTCCCCAGTGGCGATGTTTACACACCGCACCTGGTACCCATTAAGGCTGAGTCGACCTAGGGAATGCCCATAACCGATTCAGGTAATCGTCACTGGTGTTGGCCATGAACGGGAATCGGACTCGGGTCGCCTGGTTCGTAGCGCAGCACGCTAACCAATACACTACTGCTCCCCACAGACACACACATGCACATACTGCTCCCAGGTACATAAAGCACAAGCGTGAATTTCATAGTTTGCTAAGGAAGGCTGCTTTGGTGTAATGGTTAGAAGCACACTCCCGACTTGAAATCCCAGAGGCAGCCAGTTCAACCTCCCGTCTTGGAAGATGAAACAATGGTGCAAGTTTCTAAAATCCCTCCCCTGCTTCTGTCCACCCAGCAGCAGGCATGGACACACCACAGTCGATATGCAGGTAGCGTCTGGTGGGGTAAAGTGTGGGCACTCACAATTCCTGCCAAGACGCGTGGCAAGCATGAAGAGTAGGCCCCAGAATACCCTCGATAGGGGCTCTCTAATGGCAGGAGTGGCATGAACAAGCAATCGCAGGGCTGCACCTTTGCCTCGGGTCAAGTCAAAGTGGTTGCCCCTGCGATGACACCTTTGGGGGCGATGCTCCTGTCCCTCCATTGGCCACCCTGAGACTTTCTTGTTGAATGTCTTATTCCTTTGACGGTGGCCGGACCACCGCCGTTTTAAATTCAACAAAGTCTTACTAAAATATGTATTTCAAACAGTACCAGTTTATATTTGTTGCAGCGAATCAATTGCACCCCCCCCCCCCACCCGTGACCTCACACATTCCACGTGCGTACGTGCGAGTGCGGGTGAGTGTGCGCAAACGTTGCTCAGTGCGGTGCCGTGTCTTGAGTGCCAGTTTCTCGCCGCAGAAACGTAACGGCGTGCTGCCTGCCTTCCACGCGAGGTCCAGCAAAAATATTCTGAGTAGCCATCGGCCGCTCGGCGAAACGCTACACTGTATCTTACCGCAAAGCGCTCGCCGGTTCTGTGCAGGTTGAGAGGAGCTGTGAGAGTTCGGTAAAACATGGTGTGAGTGTTGACACAATCATTCATAGCTGTGCGTTACTCATAAGATTGGGCGGTGGTGTGAGCGATGTCTGAGCTGGTCCCAAGTTCCCCGATCGCCAAACCCGCGATGACCCAGCGTGGTGACGTACGGCGCACCGAAACGGCGTGGGAAAGCCTTCGTCCAGCAGTGCATTGACAAACTACCAATTTCTACGCGATAGAGGAGCGGTGGTGCAGCGGTTAGCGCGCCTCGCTGGTTACCCGGTGGCCCGGCTTATGATCGCCGGCCAGGGCTAAACATCAGTGATACATGAAGTAGTCTTAAGTCAGGGCTTCGCCTCACCCTCACTTCGCCAACCGGCAATGGCCAACGTTATGAAGTATGGTCAATCAATCCCCGCGACCGACCGGGCCATGGGGTGGCCCCGCAGTGGACCGCAGAAGGCCCGCAGATTTTAAATTGCGACCCGCCGGTAGTGGACGTAAATGCGCCAGCATTTTTACTTTCTTGCAATCTCTCGGCGCGAACGCCGGTGAGAGTGAGCAGCGGACGACTTTCACGAGGCTCCTTTTCCGCGACAATATTGCGCCTAACAAAATGCACGACTGTCGCATTCACAAACCATATTCCGTGATAATTAATTTCGAACGGAGCTGCACAAATCGGAGCGTTTGTAAAGAGCTCTCCGTTGTCAAGGCTGCTGCAAAGCCACATTTGCATGTACGCGCGGTTAGCTGCCTGTGTGCGTTAGTGCGCGAGCAAAGAGTTTGCGCGCGTGTGTGTATACGTGTGTGTACGCGAGCGTATGTGTGCGTGTGGTGCGAGTAAAGACACATGTGCTTGGAGGGAGGCCCGGGTTTGGCTTGTGGCCCACAACAAACAAGGCCCCGTTGAGGCTGACATTAGAGAGCTCCTTCCTCATGAACACCTTTTACATTTCAACAAGTTTATGGGCCACACGGTGGCAAGTTTGGCCGGTCACGATTTGGATTTATCGAACAACAGCGCCGCAGTTGCCATGGTAAAAAGGAAATTATTTATTTTCTTGGTCTCTAACAAAAATTGTATAAAGTTTATTTTATGACCGTATTTGTGCCTCTATTTTTTTTACTTTTTTTAACCATGGCATCAAGTTCTGTTTTACTGCTCGGCCGATTTTGGTTTTAGACATTCAGTGGAATGGAAAAATGTTGAGTAGTAAAGGCTTCTTTGTTTATGGGTCGTTGAATGCTCAGCCACACAGGTGATTGGGTCATTGTGGTTTGATTGGTAACTTAAGTTACATTTTCTAAAGGGTTTTAATAACGGTTTTGTTAACACATTCGTCAATAACACTGTGGCCTTTGTAGGAAAATATAATCGCCAACGTTTCAAGCAGTGGCCCCTCTTCATAGCACCAAAGTCCCATTGCCCAGAACGCCACCTATTATATATTTTTCTTTTGAGGCCACGGTTTTTATTGACGAACATGTTGAACTTTTTTGCCGATTGTATTTGTGCACCGCTGCCGATACATCATCACCATATAATATATATGTTTTAATGTTACTTGCAACTGTTTACCCAGGAAAGCGAGTCTCAAGATTATTTTTTGAAGGGTCCTGCATTGGGACGTTTGGCCAGGTATCATGAATGACTGCTTGGCTTGATGTGGCAAGAAACTGGAAAATCCGCAAAGAACCAACGCTCAACACTCCCACCTCCGGGCAATTTGAAGACTTAATCACAAATAGCTTTCTAAATGTTTGTGTCTGAAAACACTGCATATCGTTGAAATGGAATAATAATACAAAACGTTAGTGTGACGTGGGTTCCTGGACCGCATTGGGAACCGTGGGGGGGG